GCATGATTTACTCATAACGATGTGTGTGAGAAACCTACCCAGAGAGAGAGGGAAGGGTGATGTCAAAGTCTCCTGGGATGTGTTTACTAACTACATATCTCTTTTTAAATGCCCTCTTACAAAGCTTCACCATGTTTGAATGGTTGCAGTATTAGGGAGAAGTGTTTTTGGTGGAAATGCGGTCAGTGTTCATGTGAACTGTGCCAAGGCTTTGTATGTGACTAAGGCAAATATCCCATATTATTAACTGGGAGAGGCAAACTTCCAGGGTGACAGACAGATTCTAGGCAGCCATGGATTAGAGTCAAGTTTAATTATTAATCTCTACCGTCAAACCTGTCCAATGTCTCTGATGTAAATTCTTTTGTAAATATTAAACAGATTAGAGGTGATAGAGTGCTAAGTGACTTTTTCTGTATTTGATATGAAATTGTGTGAAAACAAAATCTGTTGTATGTATTAACACAAAAATTTGAGAGTCAGCAAATTTATCAACAAAATTTGATTAATGTAGAAGAGACTAATAAATAAACCTGAATCAAAGACATTCCTGTTAAACAATAACCTTCAAACCTTTCTATAACTTGGTTATTGTTGGGAGCCGCCAGGATGCACCCAGTCTGTGACAAGGTCATGGGACGAGAGAGGAACCTGCAAGGCAGCTCTTCCTCACACGGGGCTGCCCCAGGCACCCAATATGTCCCCTCTTGAGCTGAGGGGACGAGAAAGGAATCTGCAAGGCAGCTCCTCCCCTCGAGGTTGTCCCAGGGGCCTGGTATGTCCCTTTCTTCCTTCTGTCTTACTGTTGTTGGACTTTCTATTAATTTTTGGAAATGATAACATATAGTAATAAGGCCTCGCTGGAAAAGTCCAAGCCTTTTTGGAAATGCTCAAGATTGCTCTGGCTCAGGACATGACCATAAACATCAAGTCATAAAAGAAAAGGCCACAGGTATAGTTTGGCTGCTTGCTTAAAAGATTATAATGTTCTAGAATAGAAAAGAGTAGAGGTATTTAGATTTAGAAGTAGATATACTGCTTTAGTTTACTTGCTCCTTGGTTGAAAGGGTTTTCACTATTGCTATTTCCTTGCTGCTACTTGTTCATTGTTTCCCTTTCTTTAAACAACATGGGATATTATGGGTATTTTTGTAAAATTAGAAAATGGGGTATATAGGATTTTAATAGAAGATTTATATTAACCAGTTTTATTGGCATTATCCTATTATTAATAGAGGTGTTTTGCTGCTTTAGAGGTGTTTTTGCTGTTTAATATTTAATCATTGTAAATTGAGATTTTGTGGTTTCAGGTAAAGAAAAATATCAGGTTTTTCTCATGGTATTATTTTCAGAAATATCAAACATGTTACTGTGACCCTTCCCATGTATTGTTTTATTGTCCAAAGAATTTACACTATACCTGAGATTTGTGAAATATTGTTTTTGTTAGAGTGAGAATGTTAGGCCATTGAGGCAAGAAGACTATATATGGGACATTTAAGTATAAACCCTGTAATCGGAAACATTCTAGGTGAATGCTTAGGGGGAAAACATGGCAAAAAAATATTGACGGAAGCATAAACCAATATCTGATGTAATATGTGGTGACTTAAGGGGGAGGTAACATTCATTCTATAAAAATTGAGCTATCCTAAAAATTAAAAAATGCTACCTCTTCTACGCAATGTCTCTGTGTGTCTGTCTATCTGTCTTCTTCCTTGCCGATGCCACTCATCCCTTGGGTACTCCTGGTCCTGCTGGGGCTGGACCTTGGCAGGTTATAGACAGTAGATTGGAAATATTGCTCATGTAAAATACTCAGGTAGATATAGAGATTAATGGCTGCATTTAATAGGAAACACCATTCAACATTTGGAAACTCAATAACTGCAAGAACATTTTTACAAGTATTGTAGAAAAAAAACAGATTTTGTTTATTAGCAGAAAACAGATTTATAAGACAGAACTCATGTATAAACTGGACAATTGGTTATTATTTTTAAACTCATTTTAGCAGGTTTTCATTATAATTTCTTAAAGAACCCTTTTAACATTTAGTTTACACAAAAATATTATAAACAGGTTCAGAATTTATAATTTATTTAGACAGCAAAGAGATGGGACTATCAGACTACCTGACCTGCCTCCTAAGAAATCTGTATGCAGGTCAAGAAGCAACAGTTAGAACTGGACATAGAACAACAGACTGGTTCATCAAAGAGTACATCAAATTTGTATATTGTCACTCTGCTTATTTAACTTATATGCAGAGTACATCATACTGGGATGAATGAAGCACAAGCTAAAATCAAGATTGCGAGAAATAACCTCAGATATGCAGATGACAACACCCTTATGGCAGGAAGTGAAGAAGAACTACAGAGCCTCATGATGAAAGTGAAAGAGTAGAGTGAAGAAGTTGGCATAAAACTTAACATTCAGGAAACTAAGATCATGGCATCTGGTCCCATCATTTCATGGCAAAGAGATGGGGAAATGATGGAAACTGTGGCAGACTTTATTGTTTTGGACTCCAAAACCACTGCAGATGGTGATTGCAGCCATGAAATTAAAAGATGCTTACTCCTTGGAAGAAAAGCTATGATCAACCTAGACTGCATATTAAAAAGCAGAAACGTTACTTTGCCAACAAAGGTCCATCTAGTGAAAGCCATGGTTTTTCCAGTAGTCATGTATGGATGTGAGAGTTGGACTATGAAGAAAGCTGAGAGCCAAAGAATTGATGCTTTTTAACTTTGATGTTTGAGAAAACTCTTTAGAGTCTCTTGGACTGCAAGGAGAGTCCATGGGGTCGCAAAGAGTCAGACACAACTAGAGTGACATAGCAAGCACTGCGATATTGCTCGATCCTGTCAGGTGCACAAGTACTTGGACCTTGGCAGGACTGTCTCATTTTACTAGCAATGTCAAAGCCACATGCCAAGGTTTCAGTGCTGTCCTAGCCTATGGTGGTGTGTTTGTGGTTTTAGAGGGGTTTTCATTCCATACTGGAGTAGGGTTTGTTAGTCACCTTCACTGCACTGACCCCCACCACACATTTGCTAATCNACGACTGAGCGACTGAGCTGAACTGAATGTCTGTTTGATTTGACAGCCAGGAGGTGTTTGGGAGAGACTAAATTCTATATTGCTTCTATGTTTAGGGCATTATCATGTCACTCATCCTCTCTGGTTTTATTTTAGAAAAAGTATTTTATGACCCTATGAGAAAAAAACATGGAAAATAATGCCTATTTAAATATATATACATATATGTACTAGCACCAGATGGTGATAGAAGTAAAGAAGTTGCCAATGCAGGAGGTGTAAGAGACATTGGTTCGATCCCTGGGTTGGGAAGATCCCCTGGAGAAGGAAATGATAACCGCTTCAGTATTCTTGCCTTGAGAATCCCATGGACAAAGGAGCGTGGTGGACTACAAACCATGGGCATGCAAAGAGTTGGACATGACTAAAGCAACTTAACACACACACACACACACATATACATGTATACATATATACATGTGTGTATGTATGATTGTGTAATGCTTTTCACTACTGTCTGCATCTCAAATCATCTATAAGGATTGAACTATGCTGTAGTCTGTCCACCGCCCAGTAAAGGAATCCTCACGCCAATTTACTTACCTCTGCCAAGAGTCATTCCCTGGTAGCTCAGAGGGTAAAGCGTCTGCATACAATGCAGGAGACCTGGGTTCACTCTCTGGGTCTGGAAGATCCTCTGGAGAAGGAGATGGCAACCTACTCCAGTACTCTTGCCTGGAAAATCTCATGGATGGAGGAGTGTGGTAGGCTACAGTCCATGGGCTGGAAGAGTCGGACATGACTGAGCGACTTCACTTTCATGCCAAGAGTTTGCAAGCTGCTGTGACTTTGTACGTGCTCTGCATAAATTTGCACAGGATTCCTCTGCCTTCATGATTGTTACTCTCTAGGAATTATGCTCTGAATTTCCTAATATTCTTCAGCTACCTCTCCTCTGCTCTTGTTGTTGTTTAGTTCCTAAGATTGCCAACATGGCAATCCCATGGACTGTAGCCTGCCAGGCTCCTCTGTCCATGGGATTTCCCAGGCAAGAATACTGGAGTAATTTGCCATTTGCTTCTCCAGGGGAACTTCCTGACTCAGGGAGCAAACTTGCATCTCCTGCATTGGCAGGCCTTGGCATGTAGATTCTTTATCTCTGAGCCACCGGGAAATCCCCCTGTTGCTCTAGCATGTACAGATGTCTCTGAGCTTGGATGATGAGTATAGGCCATTAAAATCCATATTGCAGCAGATGGTGAGAGCAACTATTTATGCTCTTGAAGTAGATTCACCCTACCATCAATCACTACTATCTATTTCCCTTCCACTCAGAGTGCTAACTAGCTTCCTAAAAGAGAGTTGATCCTTCCCTCAGCAATGCCCAACATATGGCTTTTTCTCCACAAACCTGTTCTTCCACTTTTAAACTTTGTAATTTCTGGTCTTACATGGTTTATATTGCAGTGTCACTGTGACAGTCACATATGTTCCATCTGATCAGTCTCATGAATACTCTTACTTGTTTCAGAAGTGTAAAATTGGTCACAGGTATTGTATACCTTTAATTTTTAAAGCTAAAAGATGCTCAAAACTATTATTCCTATAAAAAGCATTGGATGATACTTATGATCTTGAGTAACATAATCCCCAGTTATAAGGTTTCATATGAATGCATTAGGCTTTGTGTTTTTGAGATTTACTTAAAAATTTAGTCGATCTTAGTATACTTGGATAAATAGAAGTGTCTAGTTTAAAACCCTCTTCCTTACTGAGTATGAGAGAAGTCATTTTGGCAACCTGTAATGTGGTTAACTACAAAGTAGCTTGATGTTTTAAGTTATGAATTATAGCCAGGCTATACCCTACAGCTAGTAACAGGTCCCCAACAAGAGGCCCATGTATAGAAGGAGATGACACAGTTCAACTGACCAGCCTGTAAACCCAAGCATCAGCAATAACAACAAACTCTTAGGGTACCTGGGTTTTTAGAAGGTGTCTCTCTGATCAGTGCTTAGATTTTAGTATCTTATGTAGCCTCCTATGAATCTCCTTAGTCTTAATGGAATAGATGATTGGATTGAGCATTGGAGGCACAAAGAGATATACTAGGGACATGAACTTGTGCACATACTCAGGGGCATGCTTCCCAAATCGATGGACCATGGACACACTAACCATGGGCACGTAGAAAATGAGCGCAGCACAGATGTGTGACACACAGGTGTTGAGTGACTTAAGTCTCTCTTCCCGGGAGGCGATGGCCAGCACAGAGTGCAATATGAGCACATAGGAAACGAGGATGAGCACTGAGTCTCCACCAAAGGCAGAGATGACAATGAACAAGCCATACATGCTGTTGATGGTGGTATCTCCGCAGGGCAGGCGGATCAGGTCTGGGTGCAAGCAGTAGGAGTGGGTCAGTATGTTGTCTTTACAGAAAGGCAACCTCTTCAGAAGGAAAGGCAGTGGGAAGACCATGCAGAAGCTGCGGATGATGATAGATATGCCCGTGTGAGCCACACGGGTATCAGTGAGCACTGTTGAATAATGCAAAGGATTACAGATGGCCACATAGCGGTCAAAACTCATGGCCAGCAAGATTCCAGACTCTGTCCAGGAGAAAAAGTGGATGAAGAACATCTGAATCAGGCAGGCATCAAAGGCAGTCTCTGGTGCATGAAAGCACAAGGTAGCCAGTATCGTGGGCAAGGTAGAAAAAGTCACACCCAGGTCATTGACAGACAGCAGAGACAGGAAGTAGTACATTGGCTGGTGCAAGCTCTGCTCCTCCTTTATGATGAAGAGAATGAGGCTGTTGCCCAGGATGGAGACAGCATACAGCAGCAAGAGGAGGGCCGCTAACCAATGCTCCAGTCCCCCCATCTCTGGGAAGCCTGTTAGGGTGAAGCTGGTCATGCTCGAGATGTTAGTTTCAAAACTTCCCATGGGGCAACTGAGTATCTTTTGGAGAAACACAATCAGAGTAAAGTGAGGTCAGACAATGGAAAGAATGGTCACTGTCCAGGATGGAAGGGAAAAGGCTACTTAGATTGCACACCAAAGATCATGAAAGATTGGGAGGAAACAAGCTAGGGATCATTGATCACATCTCAGGCCTTCTGCCATCTGATCATTTCTACAGTTGGGTCATGGGCTCCACTTCCTTCCCCACAAAAATCCTTTGAGTCTGTTTTGAAGACTGTATCTCATTCACCCTGTTTCTGTATTCTTTGCAGAAATATCAAAATCTTTCCCCAGTAGCAGAAAATGATTTAGCCCTTACTCTCTACCAGTTTTAGCCACTACATTCTTCGAGAAGTGAAGTAGAGTATGGCCTCCCCAAGACCTTATCTCAGTGCTCTCCACTTACTCATGAATCTGCATGTATGCAGGGATGACACTTTCATCTGTACTCTGAGCTGTGTCTTTTCTCCTGCCTACACTGGAAGATCTCACTCCAGCCCCCCATCCTCTTTGTCACTTGAGCTCCTCTCTTATTCACCAAGGATCCAGAGTCTCATGCTCCTCTATTCCTGATTGCTCTGAGTTTTTCTATCTTGCATATTTATGTGTTTTCCTCTGTTTAGATTAACGATTCTCAAACTGTGCATATGCTAGATTCAACAAAAGAGCTTGAAAAAAATTCCTTTGTCTGGACCCCAATAATAGCAATTCAATCCAAATCTCTAGCAGTAGCAGTTGGAAGGCTGATTCATGTCAATATATGACAAAAACCACTATGCTATTGTAAAGTAATTAGCCTCCAACTAATAAAAATAAATGAAAAAAAAAAAGAATCAATACATAAAAAAACAAAAAACACTACCCAGGAAAGTCCAATGCAAAGTCAAGTTTGAGAATCAGAGGTTTAGATTATGTCCCATCCAAAACCAACTTCTTTATTATTGAGAATCAGTTTCAGGATGTACAGACAAAGAAAATAAATAACAACAACAACAAAAATCGCTTTATTGCCCCCACATATTCTTCCAGTAAACACTCACTTCTCTGCTCTCTTTCACACTAAGTTCAAAATTATTTTCTACTCATAATGTCCTTCTTATCTCTTCTCTGTATGTCAATTATCCCAAATTCATGTCTCTAGCTCAGGTGTCTCTTCTAGCTATAGAGTCAAGCATCCAACTCCCTACTGGAGTATCAACTGTAATGGCTCATTAGCACAACATAAATATGTGCCAATCTGAACTTTTGTTAATCATTGTACTTGATCCTCTGCAATATTTTCCTCATGTAAAAGTCCATCAGCATTTATCCACGCACTAAAGCCAGAAAAGCCTAGGAAGAATTTTTCACCCACTCCCATTTCCAGATCTAATTATATTACTACCTTTCCAAAATATGCTTAACACTGGTACTCCTGTCTCTCTCACTTCCAGTTAATCCACTATCCAGTCTATCGCACTGATCTGTCCCTCAACATTTTCAATCAGGATGTTCACAGACCCTTTCTTGCTGATCACCCAGCTCCACGTCATGATCCTCTCTAATCCATTTTTTTACAAAGAAGTCAGATTATCTGTCGATAAAATCAACATAATGATGTTACAATTCTATGGAAAAGCTCTCAGTGGTTTCCCTTCACTCTTAAAATAAGGATTAGAGTAAGAATTCAGTCTTGCCTAGGCATGAGGCAGCATATGAACTACCTGAGGACTTGTTGCCTTCCTGTTATACTAACCAGTCATTACTCTTCTCTACATATCATTGTAAGTCTTTATTATGTATCCTCACACATACTTTTCTGAATGACTCTTACTACACTTCAGAATTCTAGTGAATTATTATGTATCTGTTTGGTCATTTGATTAGTATCTTTGTTCCCAAAGAATTATAAGATCCTATAGTTGTCTCAATGCTTATCCAAGTTGCTGGGCATAGGGTCCTGGATAAGGATTCAGATTACCAGTTCTAATTCTAACCAGTATATATTGATTAAATAGATAAACTATCTTAGGAAGAATGTATTATGACCCAGTTTTGAAGTGTAACATAAATTTAGAAAAGTTAAATAACTCTCCTAACATCTAAAACAGCTAATTTTTATCTCAGCTTTAGTACACATCAGCTATGGATCTAGTTTACTTAATTACACCTTATGTTGACAGCTGTAGTATAGAAAAAATACACAGTAAAACATAGAATTGATATTCCACACTGTTGTGCCAGATATGTACCAAATAAATAGCAACCAAGAAAGAGGTGATGAAGAGAGACATCTGGAGCCGAGGTTCCCAGGTCTGCTTTCCATACTGCCTGACTCTCCCAGTTTCCCAAACAAATGCTCTCTCCTTCTGTGTTGGGCATGTATCCACTTTCCAGGGAGATACCGGAGTGTAGTTAAAAACGCTGAAGCATTCACAACAAACAAAAACTTTGGGATTTCAGGCATCAGGGGTATGGTTGAGGATTATTGGTGTAGGGCAGAAGTGGAGTACACAGAAAAGCTCTAAAATTAGATCATAAACCATTTTCTTCAGTTATGTGTATTATGATCGCTTTAGGATTCTGAAGCCATGAACGAGGTTCCTACAGAACTCTGTGAGGGAAGGGCTGAAGTCCCAACTTACCTCCTCAGGGCACCTCTAGTGAGAAGAGGACAAGTGAAGTGTCTCCTAAGGGAGAACTCTGAGCACTCCTCCGTACACAACCTCCCAGCCAACCTCCCTGCTCTGAGCGATGAAACTGCCTCTTCAGTGTCCCCTGGGCCTGGTAAGTCCTGGGGCTCAAAGAGATGGCTGGAGCAGCAGGGGATATGAAAAATCTTGAATGATGGCTCCTCTGTGCACTGGTGTTTCTCCCCCTTACAGACATCAAAAAACATCGAGTTATAACCCTGTTGTCCTTCATGAAAGAATCCATTCAGTTCGTCAAAAACAGTTAGACTGAATCTCAACCCTTTGACTCTCACTGATTCCCAGGTTAGTGATCTTTCCACCAATTGTGTCACAGCCCAAGTAAATTTCAAGAAACAATAAATAAAACCACCAAAAGCTTCAGTAATCATAGTCAGAGAACACGGTGACAATCTTGGTTTACCTGGAACTGTACTGGTTTTAGCAATGAAGATCCTGCACTGGGGACAACCTCTCTGTAGCTGCAAACTCAGACAGTTTGTCAGTCTGTCCAGACCTGAGTAAAACAACCACTTCCCTGTCTAAGTGACTATCTTCAATAAAATTATTTAGTTCGCTCAAATTCCAAATTCCTCACTTGGAAACTTGGAACACAAATATCTATAAATCCAGTTGACTATGCAACTTCGTATCACCATGGTAAATGATTATAAAACAAGAACTATAACAATGACTTGCTAATTTTCCATTGGCCAGAAAAGAATTTGAGAAGATGGGATAGGCAATTAACTCTGAGAGCTCTGAGGGCTGTGAAAGCAGGTTGATTCCCAGGATGCTTATTAAAAGACCTTAAAATTATGAGAGCCTTTGGATCATCTTGTATCACACCTAAATTGTCATAATGAAGAAATGAAGACTTCAAGGGGCAAGAGGCCTGTTGCCATCCACTGTGAAATCATTTATAAAGTCAGGACTTGAAAATAATTATCCGGATTTAGTCCCCAAAATCTATCTCCATTGTCTATGCAATCTCAATTACCAGGACTGAGGAAAGGAGAAGAGAAATACTGATATTTCTTGAACACCTGCAGAGTTTTGGGAGCAATACTAGTTTTTTGTTTGCTTTAGATTAGTTCATTTAATCACCAGAGAAAAGCTGAAGGATACCTTTTATTATGCCTGAAGTCAGTACTGGATTTTTCAGTAGACAGACTAAACAAACAGAATTAGAGCTATGGAGGAATAAAATGCTAAAAAGCTATTATTTTATATTTAGATAATTTTTAAAACATCAAAGCATCAATGTTTCCTCACAAAAATGTATCGGATTTTAGTACACTTATCTTAGGGTCTCATTTTAAAAGAATTTAATGCATACAGAACACCAAAGTTCTTTAGGATTTAGTATCTCTAAAGGTTGTTGTTAATGTCAGTCTGTAAAGTCTGTTTTTGTGTATGCATGTGTGACAGTGTGTGCAAATGTGTGTATGAGAATGGAGAAAGAGCAGGCAAAGAAATGTACCTCCAAATCTTTAGAAAGGAGAAAAACAGATCTTTTATAATAAATCAATAAATCAGTCACAAGAAATCAAAAAGAGACATAAAAATATGATAACCTTAGAAACAATAGTGATTATCAGACATTTAAGATTTGACAGACTTGACATAAATGAAAACATAGACTGTGAAAAATAGTTATCATTAATTGACCATCTACTATATGCTATAAACTTACTAGAATCTATGTATACATTGCTTATTTATTATTAACATATAGTTAATATTTCATATTCACAGGATCCTTATCAAGTTTATTTTTTGTCTTCTTTTTACAAATGAGATTAGGGATTTTACAATACTTGCCAAAGTCGTAACGTTATCGGGGTAGCCAAGATAACAGTCTGGATGAAAACCACAATTATAACTAAATATACTCACACACAGTCATTCACATAAGCACGATCATCAATTGGAAGAAGAGATGAAGACAAAGGAAAAAGGGACTTGAAGGACAGCATCAGTCAAGCAGTTATAAGAAGACCGTACCGGCCTACTAAGTGCCGGGACTGAGAGGTTAAAGTTGGGGATGTTGGAGAAGGATACCTGTCTATCTGAACTTAAAACAGAAAGTCTTATGATTGTGCCCCTTGAATTTTATGGTTATGCCCCTTATCCTTTCTTCACCTCAAATGTATTCATGATGACTCTCACCACGTAGGATATGCTAGTCAAGTTAAGAAGATAATTTCTGCCTGTGTAGTAATTCTATTTCTCATTGTTAATTGATGACATTATGAATCTATGCCATTGCCTTGGTTAATGTGAGTTCATCCCTAAGAGAGAGAACCACACCAAGGGAGTCTGAGATATAACAGTGAAGAGGATGAGCCTTCTCTCTGCTCTCACAGTGGTTAGGACAATACACTAAACATAATTTCATGTATTAATCATCTTTAGCAAAAAGTTCAGAGTGCTATGAAGAGGAATCATTAAAAAGGTTAGTTTAGATTGAATCCTGAAGGGTAAATAAGGGACGTTCAGGGGAAGATAGAAGAGAGCTCAATAAATGTGTTGGACTTATGAACTTTACTTACAGAAATATGATGTTCTACCTCCTAAATAACTATTTAATTGACTTATTTCCATTCCCACTCTCTAGTCAGCCTATCAATGTGTCAATCCTAGATAATTGCAAGTGTCTTAAATCATTCCCCTACATTATTCAGCCCCCTTCCAATTCACTTTCTAAGTTGCAGAAATATATTTAAGTAAAATTCCATCACATTGCCATCAAGTACAAACTTTAAATGACCCTGTGTGATATGATAAATACCTTCCTTCCAAACTTTATTTTGAGCCATTTTTCTTATGTCCTTTGTGTTACAACTAAAGTGATCTTCCAGTTTCTTGCATGTGCAAAGGTACTCCTTCCATGTGGCCTTCACAAGTGCTCTTTTCAAAATCTTAGAAGCTTTTAACTACTCACCTTCCATTCATTTGACTGGATCCCTACCACCATCTTCTAGCTTAAACTGTCCTGTGGAAGATCCCCCTAGCCTCCTAACCTAATAAATGTTATATTACAATCTCTGTTGATCTTTTCTAGGATCTTGCAGGGTTGTGATTAATTGATTTAAAATAAATAGTAAATTATATATTACATGCTTCTTTCCTACATTAATACGTATGTTCCATAAAAGATGTCTCTGCCTTCTTATTTTTTAATATATTCAAAACATCCAGTACCATGTTTGTTCTTGTTTAGTTGTTAAATAATTTCCAACTCTTTTGTGACCCCTCTTTGGACTGTAGCCTGTCAGGCTCTTCTGTCCATGGAATTTCCCAGGCAAGAATACTGGAGTGTGTTGCCATTTCCTTCTCCAGGGGATCTTCCCAACCCAGGGATCAAATTTGTGTCTTCTGCATTGGCAGGAGATTCTTTACTACTGTGCCATCTGGGAGCCTAATGATTAGCAAATAGTAACCTAATGTCTTTACCATAATTATACTATCAGCACAATACCATCAGTCATCTTTCCACGTATCTGCAAAATGGATTACCATGCTACTTAGTGAAACACCTGTTCAAGAACATATGACATACACATATCTATTTAACTCGGTTGTTTGGTCAATTGCCTAGTTACCTATCAGCTCCAAAGTGCCATCCTAGAGAATGCATCAAACCTGAGTCACTATTTCATTTTTTTTAAACAAAGCTGTTCCCAATCAAACCCCTCTTTTCATTCTTGGGTAGAATCTTTATAAAGTATCTGATTTTCTACATTATTTTCTACATTATTTTCTACATTAACTAACTTAAACCAACGTGCGGAGAAATCTAAAGGCTGTGCTACATGCCCCTTTTCAGGGCGACCACAAAGAGTAATCATGGCATTTTATCTCCCTGTGTGTGCATTAGTCACTCAGTCATGTCTGACTCTTTGTGACCCCATAGACTGTAGCCCGCCAGGCTCCTCTGCCCATGGAATTCTCCAGGCAAGCATACTGGAGTGGGTTGCCATTCCCATCTCCAAGGGCTCTTCCCGACCCAGGGATCAATCCCTGGTCTCCTACATTCAGGCAGAGTCTTTACCATCTGAGCTCTCCTCACTCGGTGCTAACATTTATGTTTACTTACTGAGCATTTTATGTGCTGGTCAGCTTTAATTCAGCTAACCCTCACCACAGCCTTATCAAACAGACATCACTATTATCTATATTTTCCACATAAGGAAACTGAG